AAACAGACTATGAACATAATAACTAATCTAATGATCACCTGTTCTTATCAGATAGATAGTATTCCCACTGTAATTAGTTTCCCAGACACGCTTAAGAAAGATAAATACCACTGGGTTTTGTTCTGTAATATAGAGCCAAGAAGAGTGAAAAATGGTTTCGCTACTCATATAATGCATAATGTACTGAAAGAAAAAAAGTAATTAAAATAGTTAATTAAGTATAAAGCAAAGAAGAAGAGAAAAAAGGTTTCACTCTACTTATGATGTAGCAAAATGCAACGGAGAAAAAGAAATAATTAAAAAGGTGAATTAGATTCTGTTAGTAATAAAATTTGAAATTCTTGACTATAACTGACAATCACTGCAATTGCCTGCTACCCACTGCCCAGGACAGGCGTGGGTGTTTAAAGGTGACTGAGTCCAGGGAAAATAGACCCTATTAAACGTTGTTTTTTTTTAAACCACCAACTACATGGATTTGCGCTGAGTTTAATTAAATCTTTTTCTCAACTTTCGATTCCACGTACGAATTTATTTATAATATCATAATTGTTTGTCTACAATTAAGGCCACAAACTAATTCTACCTCCCTCCCCACCCATTGAATTTAATACAATTTACGATTTGTGAGGTCAAAAATATATTTGTGCTTGAAAGCCATCTCAATATTCCAGTTCATTTTGCTACAAATTGCATCATTTGGTTATAGTTCTATGTTCTTTGATGTCCTTTGATAACCTCTAATATCTTTCATGATCAACTTCACAGTGCTTATACGACAGCTGGATGTTTTGTCTTCATTCCAAAAATTAGTTCAATGGGTTTTGTTTGAGCATTATTTTGACATAGATACGCAAACAGAAATCTTTACTCCGACAGTACTTTGCAGCTTGAGGTTGCTGTTACAGCAAAGGTGGGGTCCCTTGTCTTGATGAACACACCCTAGTTTTATTCTATCTATAGAAATTGAGACATTTTTAAAAATCTGTTTAGGAATTGTGAAATATTTATCATGTCTCTCAATTACTTGATATGTTCTCGAGTATTTAGGGAATAGTTTTTTAACCGCGTCATTAGGAAAAAAATGCATTCATACGTATGTTGTCCGTAGAGATGTACAAATATTTGTTGAAACGCCTCGTTAACGTTGACTTGCTCATTCTGATTTTAAAGGCTTCAACAATAGGTGATCATATATCAGGCTCGAAATAATGAGCGATAAAATCTAAGCGGTATTGAAACCCATTTCCGAGAGAATACATCCTATATCTTCCTTGATTATGTTTCGTACAGACAACAGTGTGTTTGGGTGGGGGTGGGGGTGGTGGTTTAGCAGACTGTCCACCAGTAATATGGTGTCACTTTAGCTGCGAAATCAGTTTTAAGCTGTCTGTCGAAACGCTAATGGGCCACTGGCGCATGAGTGATATGATGTAATTTTAATATGTCTAACATCCTAACAAGTTTACGAACTCCTGGATTAACACGGATTGAAACTGCATTTTCCTGACAATTTTTATTATTAAAGGGACACCGTATGTTATGATCCATTGTTCTTGTATGATTTTGGCTATCGTCTCTGCCGAAATGTCTTTAATTTCAAACGCAACAGATCATCTACTAAAATGATCCATAATGATCAGTAGATAAATGAATCCATGACCGTTGGGATGTAAACGAACAGTCAATATATAAGTTCGTGAATCTTTCATTCAGTTTAAGATGCCCCAGTAGTGATCTAGTATATTCAGTCAAAAACAAGGCACAAAAACAATTATCAACGAAACATTATTACGACGAGCCAACACAATCTAAATCAAAAAGCTTCAACTAGCATCCAGTTGTCAGACAAAAATAAAGTGGTTTGTAAATGAATACATGTCCCAGCTCATCCCTTCGAACAATCCTCCGAGGATAGTATAAAGAATTGTGGTCACTTCGACGCCACACTAATTTCCATATATACCTTTTCTTTGTGATCACGTGGTCTACTTATTGAAATGGAATCAACTGTGTTTGCTCACTGTTGATCTGTGTTCAAATTCCAGTGTCGGCAAGGACACTTTTTCCCTATACAACAATTTGAAATGAGCTGTGATATCAGGGAATATTTGAAGGAGCGTCCAGAAAGTTTTGTTTTCAAGTAAAACTGAACCAATTCCAGTGGAAATATAACGTGATTTCACTTCCCTGAATTGAAAATTTCGTTTGTTTATCAGTTAGTATTCGATTAGCTATATTCACAGATAAGTCAAAGTTGGCAAGATAATCTTCGCTAAGTATTCGTGTCGGTCGTTTGGATAAAAAAGCCAGGATACTTCACAGCGTATTCCATAGAGATTTTCTTGTATCGATCTTTGAATTCTTTCACTGAATGTATTTTGGATGTTGCATGTATTAACTGTCGTCCTGTGTCAACTAAAATTATGTATCTGAGAATGTTATCACGGATGTAAAATAAAGAATTTTGATACTCTTCAGCGATAGTTGTCGTTGCTACTGGCTCGAAAATATAACTGAGTTGTTATCATTGAATTTTGCAAGTTTTTAGTATATTTCTTTTTGCTTTTTCTTCAAATTTCTTCAGTTATTATTGTGTTATGATTTACGGGCTTTGTGTGGTATTTGCTACTGCTACGCTTCAGACGATGTTTTTAGTTTCGTTGGAATATTTTAGGTTGGCGCTGTCTGAGAAAAACCTGCATTTGTTTCTTCAATAGTGGACTATAGCAGTTGAATTCACTCATTTTCCAAGTATGTGAAAATTTGTATTGGTATCCATCATGAATTTTTTCATCCTTTTTCTTGGTATCCATCATAAATTTTGTCGACTGTGTCCACCAGTTTGTTCAAATCATCATCTATCCCATAGTTTTTCAAACTTTCTTTACTGCAAGAACCACATTTTGCATTACAAACCATTATACGTACGTGTAATAAATCAAAGACAAACTCTTTTCAGGTTTATTTATTTAGCATCGACAATTTAGATGTATATTTGTTATGATCCGCACATATTGGAATCGCATATACCTATTTGCATTAACTATTTATATAATATAAAATTATTACTTTTAGAAAAATAAATTTAATGGAAATTCCGATACAAAAGTAAATAATCCGCAACGAGTTTGACGTACAAGATACATAAACTTAACGAGAACAGACTATATATATATATATATATATATATATATATATATATATATATATATATATATATATATATATATATAAATTACATTTAAAGAAAAATAAAATATAATACGAGCTTACCTGAAAAACTAGCGATGATTTGAGTGCTGTGCAACATTTAGATTTGTTTACACTTGGCTCTCAGTTGCATATTTTTTCTTTCTTTTTTGTCGCGACCCATCTTATTTATCTCGCGATCCACTGATGAGTCAGGAAAACCCTGAATCCATTCGTGTCAACGTTACCTGCAGTTTCTGTTTATCTAACCAAAGCGTCCCGAACATGATGTTGAAACAAAAAAGACGTTACATGAATCGAATGAGTTGTGGTTGTTGTACACTGTACAGTCAACAAGGCGTCTGTGGTTTCTGTTCCTCCTGTTTGTAGTATTAAAATATATAGTATAGTTAACTGCTGTATTTAAAAAAAAATTATGTGTCAGATTTAAATGTTTGTAGTACAGATATTATGAAAATGGTGTATATAAAAGTCTGTTATAAATTCGTTTTTTGGAACATCGGAGTTGGTGAATTTGTGGTGGCAGACTGTTAATACGTGGTCTTGTGTAAATGATATATAACAGCCATTCTGCCACTAACATTAGAAGAAGTAAGGGACAAGAAAACATTGAAAGAAAATTAACTATAAAACGAAACTGCTAGAACTTATGTTGTAATGTATCAACAGGTAAAATAAGTAAAAATAAAAGAAGCAACTGGAAGTTTATTTGACCCTTTTTCTTTCCAAATGTATTTATATTTGTATTGTGTTCTATTTCTGCTTGTTCCTTGGTTAGTTATTAAGTTAGTTAACACGTGCGTTACACACGTGTTAACTAACTTAATAACTAATTACCTTTTATGTCACCTGCGTATAAATTATTGGTATAGCTGTAGCGGACAAAGTAAATCCCTAATTAGTGGATTTAACATCTGTTTCAGTGAACTGGAAAACCTTGTCAGTTTTTAATCTTTTCATTTATAACCTCTTACTTCTTTTGCAGGATAATTCAATGTGAAAAAATAAAAATATATACTGCGGAATTTCTGCAGGACGAACGAAATGTTTGCCGAAGACTGGGTAATAAAGACTTGGTAAGTTATCGAAATGTATAGAAAATAATCGGCTCCAAACAAAGCCTAAAAATGAAGTTCTCTAATTTACCATTGGTTAAAACTATATTTTTTGATATTTTATTTAATAATTTAAAAGTGCAAATCTATTAAGATTGGCAGTGATTTAATGCTTCAATTTGTCTAAAGATCATCTGCAAGTAACACAAACTGCAATGTCTTGTTTTCGAAGGCTCTCATAGGTCTCAAAACAGAAATATGATACTTCAAATTTCTATGTCTCTAGAGTCTTCGTTTCCTACAAAATGACAATTTCATTACCTATAGGAAAATGCATAAGGTTTGTTATAGGAGTTTGTAGCAGGTTGAATTTGTGACTTTTCTTCACTCACCAGCCTTTATTAAGTCTTTTGGAAGATCCAAAAGATTTGTAGTATTTTTTATTTATTTCACTTCTAATTAATTCAAAAAAGTGATTTTTGAAACCACTTGGTGTATCTACTACTTTGTCCATGTCTGGAATTACATGATTTGTAATTTGTTATGACCTCAACTTAAGTTCAACACCTGTAAATTTTCGACGTTGATTTCTTACATTTCAGTAAAATATTTTTCTCACATAATTTACTTCCTCTATCACTTTACGATCACCGATGCGTATCGTTAATTTTAGTCAGCTTATAAAAGCGACTACGTTTTGACATTTCTATCACTTATTTTCAATCTTCCAAGATGAACAAAGATTTGTGTGTTATTTTACTTTTGCTCGCTAACTTTGCTGTCCTTTCTGCTGCTCTGCCGTGGACTGTTTTAAAATTCATACCTCAACAAGAACAAGATGACACTGTTGAAAATCTTCGAAAACCTTTGGCAAAAAAAATTAGAACCCCTTGGCGAAATCCTCAGACATCCAAGCAGTATCTTAAGAATTTGGTAAGTTGGTCATTGAAATTATTATAATTCTTTTTTAATCCATCGGTTTAGTTTGTCTCCACAGCAGATTTATTTTAATTGTTTTAAAAATGATCTTGTTCATGGCAATATCATGTGTTTTCAAATATAAGTTAATTTTTATTTTTCAGATATTTTTAATCTCTCATTATTCAAAAGTCAATAAATATAAAAAAGGGACCCCTCCTCGGCGAAGTGTGTATTTTATTTGGGGATTTTCAGAGTTGTTTTTTTTTTTAGTTACTTTTTTTTGTTTTTATAAACACGAAAGAAAGTAAAACGTATGAAAAGTAAGTTACTTTTCATGTTTATCTATTTTTTTTATTAGTTTTACTGTAAAACTAATAAAAAAAAATAGATAAACATGGTCGCCACTGACTTTAGTAAAATAAACTTTTAAAAAGCATTTTAAATTATTTAAATATCTTCTTTGAAAATAAGTGTTGGTTTTGTTTGAAAGGTTATCAGACAAAACTTAGCTTAAAGCTAATCTAAAAAAAAAAATATTTCTTACATATTGGCACGATCACTCAGCAGCATTAATCGAACTGACATTATTCATCGCTGCTTACCTATAAGCTAAATGACCAATAGTTTAAGGCCACACAACCTCGGGTTCTGATTTTTAAAATATATTTCTATTTTAACAATAGTTTTATTCGTTAACACTAAATTCAACTTCGCAATACAGGAACATTCATGTTGATAACAACATGCAACAACAATGAAAATAATAAACAAAAACTTCAAATTCTCGAAGCCCTCTATATCAAAATCAACCAACCAACACTGAACAAAATTTGTGGTAGCAATGTTTGAAAATGCATTTGACTAACATTTCAGTTGCTTTTTTACCATCTCTGGTTAGCTCCCTTGCATTGTGGACGCTTGTTTACAAAAACATCGTAATTACAAAGGATAAATTAAAAAATTTAAAATAATTATAACAGAGCGCGTTTACACGTGTTTACAAAAATCACCATCACAGCGATCACAGTTACATTAAGTTTCGCGATTCACCCCTGAGGATGTTCTCGGTGGGGGGGTGAAAGATAGAAAGTACTTGGGATAACAGAAAGTACGGCGCTTTCCTTGATGAATTTCAACTTAACATCAGGAAGCTAATTAGAGAACTAGAAAGGATTATTATAAAAATAAATAATAATATGTCTATATTCAATGAAACATGCTTAAATGAAAATATGATGCTTATTATTATTATTACTATTTGTTCCTTATCATTGATTAAAAATATAAAAAGTAGTCAGAGTAATAATGACAGCAATTGTAAAATTACTTTGACAACCGTATGGTACGTTAAATTTTAAAGACTTTCTTCCAAAAAGAAACAAATTGATTAAAACGTAGATGAAGAACAATCTGCAAGATATAAATTTAGAGTAAAAACTTTTATTCCTGTTGTGGATGCGCATTTACACGAACATTTTTAAAATCATTTCACAGCAAACAAGGCAATAAAGTCGCTAACATGCAAGGGGTTAATGAGTGCGAGAGAATATGAGAAAAAAAACACTAGTATTAAGGATAGTTTAGCTGTCCGCTACCACTTTTTCATCAATGTCGATTTTCGTGCAAAAAGCGGATCACATCTTCATACATGTTTCTGAAAACCTGAACTTCTCATTGGACAATAAATATTAAAATTATCTCGTATATCTTCACGTACATCGTTCTCAATAAGCAACACAAAACATATCAGGCTCCAGACTGAGTTTTGTAAGGCGCTTTCTAAGTGGTTAACAAATATTAAAAAAATAATTTACCTTCTCACCACTACGTCCGAATAACACCAACCTAGTTTTTGACCTGACGAAAAAAACAATGCTCTCAGGATCCTATCACGTGATTAAAAAACATAAATTGAAGGTACGAGCGAATCCAGTCAGTGAGAATTTACGACGACTAGCATAAACGAGTTCACGACGCTTGTATCATTACTGCAGCGAAGTACAAAGTTAGAATCTCAAGTTCTTTAACACGAAATAACTTCGCTGTAATTCAAGCTAAAATATCAACCAAACAACTCATTCACCAACTTCTGCAACTTACTAAAACTATTCAATCACGTTATTGAATCTTACGAAACTTAAGTACAAACAATACATTCAACTACGAGCAACGAAAACAAACGGAACATTCACTTCTCCAACTTCTTTAAAGCTAAAAGTTTATCAACATATTTTCAGCTTTACAAGATTCTTTAAACTCTCTTTCAGTGAACATTTTGAACGAAAAGATAATTCAGCTTTTTGTGAGCTCGGGTAAAAAATATTTTATTAGTAAAAACTTTAACCCAGTCAAAGGGAAGTAACTCATATTATAGTTATTGTAAAACTGTTGTCATTTATAAATATAAATATTGTACCTGTTATGAAAAGGTATTTTCTTGTGTTCTTTCTCTTGTTTGCTTTTTGTTTTCTTACACATTCGTAAAGTAAAAAAAATGTGTGGGATGATTTATGCCGTCAATACCACTACAATAGGGACATGAATTTAGATCAGAAGATAACGATTGACCATGCATTTAAATTTTTGTTGAAAAGTTGACTGGGAAGAAAGAAGCTGGAAGAGAGTTCCACAAGCGAGAAGTGCGAGAAAAGAAACTGTTGGCATAGAACTTCCGGTCACATCTGGCCAATTCAACTGTGAATTGGTGAGTTCTTGCCGCCAATCTAGTATTATTCATAAAATCTAGGTACAATATTGAAGGAGTTCATTCGAACAATTACGATAAAAGTATTTATAGAAAAGGTAGAGGGAAGTTACATTACGGTGATGTGAAAGTGACTGATACCGAGATACCAGGCCAATATAAATGACAGTGCAGATTCTGCTTTGTATTTTATCAAGAATCTTTAAATACATAACAGAAGCACTAGGCCAGATGAGGCAGCAATATCCAAAGTATGGACGAATGGTTAACTTATGAATGTGTAAGACAGATTCTGTCGAGAAAAAATTGTCTCGCACGACACAGTGCAGCAACTTTCCTCGTAGAGGACCGAGCAATTGTTTCAATCTTTCCACTTCATGTCAGCGGAAAACGTTAGCCCGAGAAAGCACAATAAATCACTCTCCTGAAAGTTAACATCAGCGATGGAAATCAAAAATGATTCTCTCAAACGATTAAACATTTATGAGACAAAAAGTTATTTCCCCTTTACTATCCATTTGACAAATAAAAAACTAATTATAGATAATCACGAGAATTAAAAACAGTCACGTGACCTGACGAGACCTGCACGAGACATCGTTAGGGGCGTAAATTTAAAAGTTACGTTCAATCAAGTAGACGCACATTTTGTGGGGTTTGACAAATCCAAACAGAAGTACAAAAATGACATTGTTTTTTTTCAAAATAATTGCATTCATTTGTGAATAAGTTCTGAAAATTTCATTAAAATCGGACAATTATTTGATATTTACAAAAAGTTCCAAATCAATTTGTTTTCAACGGAAAAAAGCTCAAAAACGTCAATGTTATTTTATAGCCACCGCGATGACGTAAATAAAAGAAGATTTTAACCAAAATCTCGAAGATTTAACACACTATTACAGCAGCACCGCTAGTAGTTGCGAGAACCAAACTTGTTAAAAGCGACACGATGCTTCATTCAATCAGAAAACATGGACTTAGTCTCTTTGAGGACACGTTTACAAGTATTACGAGTAGACACAACGTGGCGTCTGTTGTGTTCGGAACTATCATGCTGGTACACTCGGAAAGAGTGATTCTTGTTGGCTATAGCAGTTGATCAGGCAGGTATGAACCAAGGAGAAGATTGTGGCTTCACCTGACATATCTGAAAATGTACAAAAGCATCGATGGCAGTTTTAACACAAGAAACCTGTGCCAAAATTCTCAATAGAATTAGAAACGTTAATTGAAACGAAATTGAAACACGGTTCCCCCCCACCCCCTGAAACGTTAGAGCTAGGGTCAGAAGAGAGATTAGATGTCAATTTCTGGTCATCTAGCGTTTTGGGGGTACACGTATAAATCCGTTGTATCATCAGCATAGGTATTTACAAATGATCGGTGTATACTCTTAGGTAGATCATTTATGTAAAATAAAAAGAGGATTGGTCCAAGTAAGCGAGCCATGTCGACGTCTACGTTGATTGCTAGGGCTCATGATGACTGCTTTTCAGTATTTTCTCTTGTATTACTATTTGTTTGAAAATCCTTGTCATGATCTCTTCTTGGTTTCTTTTTCAAAAGTCTATTTTCAAAGCCTGAAAATGAAATATGTTTTCTTCGGAAACTCCTTTGATTAGTTGTCACAATATACAACCTGTTGTCAGTGTCTGCTGACTTCATTTTTCCTTCAGTGTTCCAACATATTTTTTTTTTAATCTAATTTTATTCTAACGCCATCTCCTCTTTTTAGAGTTGGTAAATCTCTGACACCATGGAATCTGTTAAAATTCTTTTCCGTTCTGGTTTTTGCCAGTTTGTCTCTCTCCTTGATTCGTCTGAAATAAGGCCGTCTTGCTCATAATTTTTTAGGGCGTAAAGGTAATGTGGTTCTTATTTTCCTTCCCATAATTAATTCTGTGAGACTGACTCCTGTAGCTTGAATTGGCATATTCCAGAATACGTATTAATGCCCGAAATGTGTCTGATTGTCTCAAAATTCTCTTGGCTGTTTTAACAGCATTTTCCATTTCTCCATTTGCTTGAGGATAATGTGGACTTGATGTTCTGAGTTTAAATTCACAACTGTTGGCAAAATGTTTTGAAAGTATAACTTGTGAATTGTCACCCATTATCACTGATAAGTTCAATAGGAATTCCCTAACGTGAAAAGAAATTTTTCAACTTTCTATCACACAATCGCTTGTCATTTGATTGATCTTTACTATTTGTCTATATTTTGAAAATTAATCTATTGCGACAATATAATTGTGTCTCTGGTGAGTGAAAATAGCTGTACTAATTTTTTGATATGGACCTTGAG